ATTCCTTTTCGTTACCGCCTCATTGGGAAGGTTTTTTTAAAAGGCCCTTTCCTGAGGGGCCAGTGGGCCTTCTACATGTTCCCCTTCTTAGTTCTTATGAATTCCTCGGTCACGTGCGTCACATCTCACTCTCCGCCTATATATATAATGTCTTTCTACCTCTGTATGTTAGAAGTGATCAAGGTCCCAGGACCGAAACGTTTTCTAATAAATATGTTATAGTGTTTGCTTACGTGTCTTTCTAAACCATCCTTAGATGCGCGCACACTGGCTGGCTTGTAAACACTGGCACACAAGGGGAAGTTCAGGCCACATGTGGACAGGTCTCGTACGAATCGTATCGAATACCGGGTTTTCAATCGAATACCGAGGAAAAATTTTTGCGATATAATGCATCGAATACCAGGGGTCCACTGTACTGAGGGTTTCGAACCAGGAAAGAACCAGAAATAATGGATTTAAGTTGGATAAAGATTTAGAAAGGACATAGGTAAATACTGGTTTTTGAACAGAGTGGTGGATGCGTGGAATGGTCTTCTGAGTAGGGTGATCGAGGCTAGGGCCTTGGGTAGCTTTAAAAAGAGATTGGACAAATATGAGTGGGAGGGGCTGGGTTTGATTAGTGTCATTGGGTACGGGAGTAAATTCTTGGGTAGTTTTGGGTAGGGGTGGTTTTGATGAGGACCTGCCTTGTATGGGCCAGTAGGCCTTCTGCAGTGTTCCTCCATTCGTATGTTCTTAGTAAAAACCCATAAAACAGACCAAGGGTGCCGGGGGAGGCCTTACCCGTCCTCAGGAACATCGGTAAAAACTGAATATTTCCACTATGTATTTTGAGGCCAATTTCAAGTTACTTCTGGTTTCAGAAGTTTATTTGGGTACAGGTACACAAATACAGCTGATAAATTATCATTCCTAGCAACATATGTGTAGATTACCTAGGATAACCCAAAAAAGTCAGACAGTGACTTTTTTCCATCTCTATTTCAGTAGTTTTTCTTACATTCTATCAAATGATACCAAGAAACAGCCAATAAAACCATAAAAACCATCCTAGAAAATGCACCTCAGCCCATCGTAGGTAGCAACACACATGAACCTGCTGCATTATAAAATATATACACAACTTTTTTAACACATTAATCACTGCAAATTTATCTTCTTTTTATCAGCTATGCTGTATATTCCATGCCAATACACTAAGTAAAATAAAGCCTACCTGGTATTAAGAACGTAAAGAGCTGCTCGAGGACAAGGTAAGCATAGTAATTGTGAGCAGTCACTAAGGTGATGAAGAAGTTCTCGGCAGCAGATGCAAGCTCTTCAGATTTATAAAAAGGAATTTTCTGCCAAGAAATACAAATTCGTTATGATACATTACAGTTCAAAATTTTTATACCTTATACAAACATAATAATTATTAAAATCAGAATTAAGTGCTAAACCCACAAGGGTCATATAGCTCTGTTTACAAACATAATGCAGAAATGCTGGTACAGGGGAACAAGTCAGTGCATTCTTCACCTGATGGAATTCATCTTAACACTCCTACTTACGTTGTTTATCCAGTATAAGTATAGTGGAACCTCAAAAATCGAACTTAATCTGTTCCGGGAGCTAGTTCTAAATTCGAAAAGTCTGAAATTCGAAGCAATATTTCCCATAAGAAATAATAGAAATACAATTAATCCATTACAGAAACCCAAAAATATTCACACAAAAAATGCATTTTATAGAGATTAATTACAGTTTTACATACAACAAATACCATAGTTTTTAACCCTTTCAGGGTCCGTCCCGTAGATCTACGGCTTTACGTTCAGGGTCCAAACCGTAGATCTACGTCATGAGCTCAGCTCACTCTGATAAACTGTGAGTGTACATTTGGGCCTAGATATGAGAGAATACAGCTATGTGGTATGTGTGCACCACATAAAACAGATCCTGCAGCACACTGTGTATAATAAGAGAAAAAACTGAAATCATGATTTTTCGATTAAAACAGCGACTTTGCAGTGTTTTTTCTTATGTTTTTTATAGTTGTATTTGCGATTTCTTGGTCTCATTTGATAGAATGGAAGACATATTACAGAAATAGAGATGATTTTGATTGGTTTTAGCACTGGAAATGGCTTGAAACTGAGCTCAAATTAGCAGAAATGTTAAATTTTTGCCGATATTCAAGAGTAAACAAACGACCTCACACGTCTAATACACGCCAACTGGTGGGTCTAATATGCATTCACAAATATGGTGATGATATTTATACAATTATTACAGTATTGCATAACAGTAAATCTTCTACTTTTTGGTGTGAATAAAAATTCATTATGTGAATAAAAAATCAAAATGGAATTTATTTGTAAAGCCTCAAAACGTAACTAATGAACAGAGGAAATGTTAGTTTATTTCCCAGGAATACCTACATTGTTTATTCTGGACCCTATTTTGAAATTGGAATATTTTGAACTTTGTGTTAAATTTGGGCCCAAAATTTAACAATTTCCGATCACTTCAATTTGTAGTTGAAAGAGTTGACTTGGCAATTTCTTGTGCTCAATCGATAGAATAGAAGTAATACTAGTGAAATAGCTAAGAATTTGGTTGACCGGAGTAATGTAATTGGCCTAAAATGGGAGTCAAAGTCGGCAAAATCGCCAATTCGTAAATATCGCTGACACATCAAAATTCGCGAGCATAATGTCGTCAATTTCCCATGAAATTTCGTACTTTTTCTTTTATTACCTTCACAAAAAGATTCTCTACCATTTCATAAGAAAAAATAACAAAATTTTTTTTTGAAAATTCTTGGACACTGGGGCACCACTTCAGATTTGGGCCTTGGAACCTGAAGGGTTGTTTAAATGTATAGTAATACATCTAAAATAACATTTTTACTTACCTTTATTGAAGATTGGTGATGGCATCTGGAAGATAGGGAGGAGGAGAGAGGGAGTTGGGGTTAGTGTTTGGAAGGAGAATCCCCCTCCATGAGGACTTCAGGTAAAGCCCTCTCTGGGGTTACTTCCCTTCTCTGTCTTTTAATGCTACTAGGACCAGCTTGAGAGTCACTGGACCCCTGTCTCACAAATAACTGTCCACAGTCCTCTGTTTCTGGCACCTCTTTAACATTTCCCTAAAATGGGACATGGTTCTGTCACTGAACTTGCTGCAAAAATGGCTTGTTTCAGCTTGCTCAGGGTGGTACTTCTGCACAAACATTTGGACATCATTCCACTTGGCACGAATCTACTTAATCCTTGAAGAAGGCACCTCATCCCTCCTATATTAACACCTTTCGCAACATCAGCTTCCTGATTTGTTCTTTCTTTGACAGGTTAGAAACCGAATGGTTCGACTGTTTTTTCCCATACTCCTGGCACAGCTCAACAAGTCTCACACCACTCTCATACTTCTGTATATTTTCCTTCTTCACATCTATGGTGTTTCTCACTTTCTATACCATTGGGGTACAACTAGCCAAGTTCTAGTTTGTGCCATGGCAGCTTATTTCACAGTCCACAAGCACAAACACCAACAAAATAAATCGTAAAATGCGTGAATGAGCGCGGCAGGGTTAGTGATCACTTCAAGCAATAAACAATGCTAGAATGCTCACGGCGCTGCGGGGGCACGGTACAGAGCGGGCGGCAGACAGGTCCTGTACCCCAGCCCCCCCCGAGCAAAATAGGGAGGCGCGTTCGATAATAGGACACAGTTTGTCCAAAAAAGATGGTCCTATTTTCAAACGTTTCGATATGTGATACGTTCGATTTTTGCGTTCCATGTACAGAATATTTGTGTGTGACCACACACACAACACCGCACATGCTTGCTTTGTGTGCATGTGAAAAAAGTGGATGTATTTAGATGTTGGGAGGAACATGGGCAGCAGATTGGTCTATGAAAGATGAGGTGAAACCATAGGATAAGAGGACAGGGAAAAGTTGATTGGGTGGATAGTGTCCAAGTATCTGTGGAAGAAAGTAGTTTTTCTAGAGGGCAAAATCGGGAAATGTACCAGGAGTATAATGGTAACAACACTTATATGGGTTGCGAGCATGGTATTTGATGTGCAGCAAGAAAGAGGTTAGAGGCAGCAAAGAAGTCATGTTTTAGAGCAACGTGTGGAGTGAATATTATGCAGAGTAGGAAGTGTCAAATTTAAAAGGCAAAATGGAGAGTGACGAAAAGAAAGAATATAATTCAGAGGTGAGGATAGGTTTAAAAGGGGCTTGAGAATCAATAAGCTTATGCAAGCATGGGGTTTAGGTTTTAGGAGTGAATAGAGAACAAGTGAGTTTTTACTGAAATGTTGCTGTTTTGGAGTGTAAGCAGGGGTAATGTATGAAGGGATTCAGGGAGACAGTAATCCAAATGAGTTATGGAAGGTAGGCAGGGCAGTGCTGCACTCTGAAGGATGGGTGGTGATGTTGTAGTCAGACAGGTAATCTGATGCCTAGGTCAGCACACTTCTCAAAAGCGTACAATTCAGTTGAAAGTTGGAGTGTGTTGTTTTCTTCTTTGGGTCAGACTGCCTTGGCAGAGCAGGCCATGATTTATATAGTCTTTTCTTTTTAAATAATAGTAATTTCTACAGGAAGGGGTACTAGACCCCTTGCTCTCAGCTTTTAGTCACCCCTTATTATAAGCATGGTCTCGGAGAAGATTTATTTCCACTTCCCCCAGGGAGAAAAGAGCGAAATAAAGAAGAACATGAGATGTTAAGAATATAGAAGAAAGCCCAGATGGGGTGTAAATATATATGCAGTTGCCGTGTAGTGTGCCTGAGTGTAAGTAGCAAGATATACTGTTATCCCAACGTGTTATGAGAGAGGAAAACGACACACCAGCAATCAAATTACTGACCAGCATGAAAATAATTACAAGTCTCAGTTTCTCACACACTCTGCAGGACAGCAGTACCTCCCCAGGTGGGGTAGTGTCTACCAACCTACTACCAAGGATACGTATACTTATTATTATTAAATTCAAAACTAAGACCTAAAACCTGTAAGGGTCATACAGTGTTTTTTAAGTTTACTGCAGGGAAGGATGTACTAAAGATGTAATATGTCAGATTAGAGATCAGAAGTGTGGAAAGAATGCAGGAAGCAGAGTCGGAAGGCGTGGGGAGTACATATAGTTATATACATTTATATTATCACATTATTATCACAGGCTATCTCCCACCCAAAGATAGGGTGACCCAGAAACAAACACATTCACCATCAATTCAACAGCTCTTGCCAGAAAAGCATTGCAAACAATTTAAATAACATCCAAAGGACACAACACCCCTCCTTTAAGTGTAGCCACTGTACTTATCTGTTTCAGGGAGCTGTATTAATCATAATACTTCTACAAATAATAATGAAAGGAACAAATGCATTACCAAAATATTCCTAAAAACAATGTTATCTGCTTTTCTGTCTAAGATGAGACACATTCAGTCATCTGCGGATAGCCATAATAAAAGAATCACTATGGGACCCTGACACTGACAAATCCTTAAACACATTTAGTAAAAATGTGAGGGATTGCCAGATTCTCTGTATTTCAAAAAATTACTTGAGCGAGCAGTTTCTGGTTGGCGAACAGTACTCGTTTACGTGCAGAGACACCATGGGGATTTCTTCAGAATTGGATGGTGATAAGCAGTCGTTATTGGATGCAGATACCATGGTGTGATTTCCCCAGAACTGGCGTTAATGACATGACATTTGAGTAGTCTGTAACTAAAGTTAACTATTAGAAATGGTTTTAGCATAAATTATAAAAAATAATAAACTATTTAGTGATAAGCAATTTATTACTGTACATCAAGAGGTCTCTGGTGAGCTATGCCCATCATGCAAGCAAATGCCTACTATGCGAGTGCTTGTTATTATTGTGTAATCAGGGAGGAAGCACTAAGCCTGCATTGTTAGTACAGCATGGAGGGTGGCATCCTGGGGAAGAAAGAGAACCTAAGGACCACATTGAAAATTAGTTACACGCTTGTATGTATATTCAGGTATATATAAATACAGTTACATAAATTTTTTATACATAGCAGCATTATGTGTAGAGACTGGGGATAACCCAAAAAAAAAGTCAGACTGAGAGACTTATTTCCAATGCATTATTTGGATTATCCTAGGTTTCTAAGGGTTATAAGTATACAACAGGTTCTTGGTGGATTTGGACCCAAAAATTTTAGTTTAAACTTATACTGTTAAGGTTTTACAGTATTTTGTATTGCAAATGTTAAAAAGAAAGCAACCCAACCTAATGAACCCCTCTAACACCAATTACAATATTCAACATGACTTAAGTTTATTCTGCCATTGGTATCAGCACATTATTCGTTTACATTCAA